CAGGAGATGCCATTTTGATTTCATCCTAGACCCTGAGCCGTGCCTGGGTCTGTTCCCCAGAGCTTGCTTTGACCCTCGCTGGTGTTAGTGAGGTGTCATGAGCACTGGGGATGTCCCTGTGTATGCTCAGTTGCAGGCTCAGTAACCTTATTACTTTCTGAATTTAAAAAAAAAAAAAAGGATTTCATAAAAGAGGCAGCCCCAATGTTTTATTTAAAGCCAAAGGAGCACTGGTGGACTGTCACTTCTTTGGAAGCTTTAGGCTTTCCTCTGCAGTGCGCCAGGAGATGGTTTTTCTGAAATCTCTCTGGCTCTGTGTTCTGGCATCTCCTCACATTGACTACATGGCTGTGGGCAAAAAAGCAGAGATACACAATTATGAGAACGGATATCAGGAGCTGCTTTGAAGACACCCTCTCTAACCCTGTTTCAAATGTGTTTCATAATTCCTTCTCTGCCAGAGCTACCAATACAGAAATATCTTCATCCTATTTCCAGCATGACCCTATGTTTTAAAGGGTATTTTAGCTTCTGTAAATATCAAGTAACAGAACTAAGTGATTGCAGAGCTGAAGCATAAATAGAAAGAGGAACAGACAGCAGCAAACCGCTGACACTTCAGCTGAGAATTGGCAAGTCCAGCTGGAAATGCTTGTCCCAGCAATACACACCGCATTTGCAGAGTATCTTCGCAATTGCCTCTGTGGACAAAGTTTATATTCTCATTGACTTTTTTTTTTTTTTTTTTTGCTGCCAGTGCAAATGCAAAAGTTTAGTGTAAAGGACATTTCATGTAGTTCTGTATTTTCCTGAGTGTGTATATATACACAAACATGGCCATATATTCACTCATTTTGTAATGAATTGGGTCTGCAGCTGACCTGTGATTTTTAACTTTCAGTGGGAATTATGCTTTGAAGTCACTGAGACACTTTGGAAGATGCCATCTTTTAGGAAGATGCTTGTCTGCCGTGCTGTATACAGGTCATAATGCTTATGTTCAGAAAACAAACTTTGTGATCTCTGAGAGGATACAAAACTCTTCTGTTTCCAACAGAACGGGGCAATTCTGCCTGCAAGTGGAGCACCTGTGATGTCCCTGGAGAAGAGATGTGGAAAACCAGTACTCTTTAGCCACCATTAATTGTACTCATCTTTGGCAAGATATCTTTTTCTGTCCACATATTTTTGTCACAAAGGACACTGTGTCTTGCTTTACTTGGAAATAAGTAAATCCTCCTCTGTTAGAAGTTCCAAATATATGAAAGTTGTGAATGAATTTGAAGATGACAGAAACCACTTTTCAAGGGATCTAACATGGCTTTGTTCAGAGTTTACCTTAAGGTGATAAAACTGCAGTAGTTCAGTGCACACGTTGACAAGCAGTGCTCGGGCTGGGCTGTGCAGCCACAGTCCCTGAAGCCAAGGGTATGTGCTAAAGCGAGGTGTAGCGCAGCAGTAACTCCTGAGCATGCTGTAACTCATCAGCGGTGGTTGAGCACTCTGGGGTAGGATGCACTTTGCGCCATGACCAATTACAACATCAGTGTATATTGTTCAGTAATTAGTAAATTCTGCATTTTAAATGGTCTCTTCACTGATGTTTTGTTCTTCCATTAAAAAAAGTCATTCTATAATGATGTATTCTGTGATATATATGTGTATATATATAATATATATAATAATCTACAATATGTACAGATAGATCATATATAATACAAATTAGATATATATTTTGTATATGTATGATATATTTTTGCAAATAGGTATGCACATATATGCACATATATCATATCTATATGTATGCATATGTATGTGTGTGTGTATGATTGCTTCAGGGAGGTATCTCACTGGTTAAAAGAGGTGAATGAGTGGAGCACAATATGAAAGTCTTCATAACATGTTGTCTGTCGAGTGTCAGGAACCAAACTTTCCTGTACGTTTTTACTGAGCCTTGCTAGGATAAACATAGGGGCTATACAGAATATACTAAGGAATCGTAGATGAATTATTCAGAAAATTACCAAGAAGAGCAGGAGGCTTTTTGTCTTTTCATGCGCAGAAATCAGGACTGGATGGTGTTCTGCAAGATATAAGTTAGCCAAGCACAAACTACGAGGCTAAATGGAGGGAAATATGTGGGTGAGATATTTGGACCATGGTCCAGTTAGTGACATAATTACTGTCTCCAGCGAGCGGGCTGGCCTTTTCTGTGGTTTAAAAAGAAAGCTAGACTCCTTCTCAGGCACTGCCTTTGCAAAATCCTTACCCACTGGTTCAGAAGAAGATGCAAGAAACTTCAAAACATGTACTTTCCCTGGTGGAAAACCAAATGCAAGTTTCATGTAGCTGCAAGAGTGGTTTCTTCCCAAGTTAGTGTCTGATTCTTCACTCTTTAAGCAAAGATTTTGATTTTTCCATTATCATGACTTTTCTGACAGTTGGCAAAGAAAAAGCCTAATGGCCTCTCAGCAAATGACATTGTTTCTGATTACTCTGAACACATTAACTGCAAAGCAGGAGCAGTGTGTTCCAGGTTAGCCCGTTCCATGCTACTCAGGAATAAGGCACTTCTGTTTGGAATAAGAGTCCCTACATGTTGTTAATTAGGAGCAACTCCTGTTTAGACAGGCCCCCAGGAAAACTGTTCTGGCATGCATGCATGCAAATATAGACTGTGTGTATTTGTTGTAAGCATGAATAAGAGTCATGGGTATCAATTTGGCAGTATTAAAGGGTTGCATATGCCTGCTACACTTCACAGGCAATTGCTCAAACACTTTAATCCTCACGTTGTCTTCTGCAGGTAGGAGAAACTGTGGCCCTAAGTGCAAAATCCAGCAGGTAATCTTGAATAATATATGGAATTACATATGGATGATGTCCTAGTGTACACAAGATTGTTTTCTGGAGTTAAGCCATTAAGTTGTAGAAAGAGGGACAACTTTTTAAAGGCTTGTTGAATCAAGGTGTCCCCTCATCACCCCTTGTTTGCCCTCTCTCTTCTCCCCCTTTTCCCCTCAAACTGGCCAGGGTTTGTCAGTGAGCTAATTCTCCTGAGGAGCTCTTGAGAAGAACTTCTAGCAAGAGAATTATGACTGGTGTCAAGTTATGTCTTCTCCAGTCATCATGCAGACTAGCTGACAAAAAGTGATTAACGTCACTTAAATGGAAAACATCAAGATCTTTTGGTGAGAAGCCTGTTTCCCAATGCCAAGAGATAAAGAATTTGTCACTTCGCTTGAGCCTTGGTTCCAGTGTATAATTGCTTTCACCACTACATTTTTTTCCTTTTTTACCCCATTTGGTTTGGCTTCTAATAAATATGGCTGAACACAGGCACATTTTTACAATTCTTGCGTAAATTTTTGATTTGCATATCGCAATACATGCTCAATAACTTTACCTGAAGCTTTTATATTTGTAGTTTATGATAGGAACAATTTCAATTTATTGAGCTATTTTTCCTCCATAAACATTGATTTTTGGCAGGTTTGCAGGGGTGAAGGAACCCTGACAGGGAGAACAGCATACACCACCAGGGAGAAAATCTGAATTCCCTTTCTCGTCTTTATTTCAAATAAGCTAGCCTTGACCTAATTCAGTATGGCTACAGTTGCTCTAGACTGCAGAAGAAGTTCCCACTTCCCTTTGGAAATTGTGCATAAATTTGTTTTTTCATGTTTCTTGAGGCTTGTGTAGTCACACTTTGTTTGACTTGATGATTTCATAACCTCTTAGCAAATTTAGATCCACTTCAGCAAGTAGGTGGAGATAACAAAGATAATGAGATTTCTATGAGTTTTATGAATATAGGTAAAAAGGTACATAGTGAGACCCTGTAAGTGCTCTGAGTGAGGAAGAAGGTTGTAGTGGGAAATCGTGACTTTTGATATGACAGAGAACTTGAAATATTTCTAAGCTCACTAACTGCAGGAAAGCCTTCAGTCAGAATTTAAGACATGAGTACTCAGTTCTGGGGCTCTTGGCTACTGGGTTGTTTGTAGAAAACCAGACCACTCCTGGCACACTCCTACACAGTGTTTGGATGAAGAATTTCCCTCTTGTATCATATGAACTCCATCCATTTAGACTTACACCAATGACTGAAAGCTGGGTTGAGCCATCTGCATATGTATTATACTCTCTTTCTTTTTTTTTTTTTGTTCTTGAAAATTATTGTGCAGCATGAGACTGCGTGAACATTAACAGAACCTGGAATATATTTTAAATGTAAAGCTCAGTCAGACATACCGATAATTGCATGTTCTATAATTAAAACTGTGTAGGCTTTTCTTTCTAAGTATGGCAACAGCTGTTAGAGCACATCTGGAAAATATGCTTTAAGCAAAGGTATTTTAGCTCAGAGAATTTCACAATGCATGGGATATTTACTAGCACTTCTGTCCAGAGTACTAATCTGATTTATCAGTATTTTTAATATAAAAGTATTCCTTTTTTTTTTTACATATTTATGTTTGCAAAACTGGTTTCGAATTCATATCACAGATTGGCCATTCCAGTGTAGCTGAAGGCTAAATACTGCAAAACAAAACCATTGCTTTGCTACTGTTTTTAGGTAGAAGCCTATGTAAGCCGTGTCTAATGTCCTAATAGAATCATAGAGTGGTTTGGGTTAGAAGGGACCTTAAAGATCATCTAGTTTCAAACCCCCTGCCATGAGCAGGGACACCTTCCACTAGACCAGGTTGCTCAAAGCCTCATCCAACCTGGCCTTGAACACTTCCAGGGAGGGGGCATCCACAGCTTCTCCGGGCAACCTGTTCCAGTGTCTGACCACCCTCACAGGAAAGAATTTCATCCTAATATCTAATCTAAACCTACCCTCTTCCAGTTTAAAGCCATTTCCCCTTGTTCTGTCATTACCTGCCCTTGTAAAAAGTCCCTCCCCAGCTTTCTTGTAGCCCCTTCAAGTACTGGAAGGCCGCTATAAGATCTCCCTGGAGCCTTCTCTTTTCCAGGCTGAACATCCCCAACTCGCTCAGCCTGTCCTCATAGGAGAGGTGCTCCAGCCCTCGGATCATCCTGGTGGCCCTTCTCTGGACTCTTTCTAGCAGGTCTAATAATATTTTCTCCACTGACTTCAGACAAATATTTTCCCCTTTTTTGTTTCTGAAGATAAATAATTGTTTCATACTGGAATCACACTGAGAGGAAAATTGGTCTTATGACTGGACTCCTGCTCTGTGCTTCTTGAGGCTCATGTTAATGCTTTTTTGCACTATCTCCCTCTCTAGAAAACAGAGATAGTTGTACCCCCTACAATTACAGCATTACTCAGAACTTCTTTGAAGTCAGTGAGAGTGTTTATAATGTAGGATCCTGACCACTTTGAAATTATTGACAATATTTGTGTTTGTGGTAGGAGCCCAGGCACTGTGGTTTCTGTGCTTTCTTCAGAACTGTTGTACAGACATGGCACTACAAAACCAGAATTATTAAAATGGAAACAAGAAAGTGGAAAACTTTAAAAAACTTTAAAAACCTCTATCCATTAATTTATTGATAATGTTACTCATTTTGTTTATTTGGGGAAAAAATGTCTAAAAATAAAGATGCAGAACCTTTAGTAACAAGGTAATACTCTCATCAGGATTTTGCATTCTGACCCAAGCATATCAAACCCAGCCAACCAACTTGCTTTCAAGATGATGAGGGAGATTTTGCAGGTAGATAGCGTTTACCAACAGTTCCCCGAGTGAGAAATCAGTTTCCCTTTATTTAGAGTAGGAGGCAACTTTTTAATGCTAGATAACATTGTGTTGGAACAGCTTTTTTCCTGAATTTTAAATCATAAATACTATGCTTGTTGTGCAGCTGGAGGCAAAATGCAGTTACCCAATGAAGGAAGAAACTACAGTTAAAAAAACTGAATGAGATTAAAAAAAAAATCTACAGCAGTGATACAGCAAAATAAGAGAGTAACATGGAATGTATTAGTGGTAATGTGGGAAAATTAATTCCAAATTATTGACAGTTTAATTGACCTACAGGAAGTATTTTAATGGGCTTAGTATGCTGCACTGTTCTTCAGTTTCTAATCTTTTCCACTGGCCAGAAAACCAGTTTTTCCAAGCATGGGGTTTACAGTTGGACGTGCGACCGAATCTTTCTCTTCCATCCAGCACCTGCAAAGTCCATCCTGTGAGCAGGGCTCGGGTACCTCTTTGCCCCACTCTTACTGGTTACAGAGGCTCTTTGCAAATTATATTCACAAGGTGATTTGACCCCCAGGCTCCGACTGCATGAAGAAAAGGTCATTAAAGATCGGCGGCACCACCTCAAGACATACCCAAACTGCTTCGTTGCCAAAGAGCTGATCGACTGGCTGATTGACCATAAAGAGGCCTCAGACCGAGAGACGGCAATTAAACTGGTGCAGAAATTACTGGATCACAGCATTATCCACCATGGTAAGTGCAATATCAGATGCTAAAAAGTTCTAAGCTAAATTTTATTGACTGCTGTGAAACAGAGAACTCCCGCTTCTGCTTTTCAACCAGGTATAGGACAGGTAGGAGCCTTTCTCTGCCAGAAAGGGAGCATCTCCCTTGAACTGTGCTGCTTGGCAAGGTCCTCTGTGTCCCGAGCAACATGGAGAGGCTGAAGAGGTGCAGAGTGATGTTCCCAATGACAGAATAGACCGTCCTGCTGCTTCCCTGCCTCCAGAGCAGCCCCAGATGGATCCTGTCCCCTCTATCCCTGCTGCCTTCACCTCCCTGCTCCCCAGAGCACAATTTTCCAGCTGAAAAACCCATCTGAAAAATCAGCCGTCAAAAAAAGGTCATTTTTCTCATGTGGATTAGTTCTCCAGCCCTGTTCCTCACACCAGCTGCACAAACATTAGTGCTGGTACAGCTGCAAGAAAGTTAGTGGTCCGACTGTGCCCTGATTAATTTTCTCCTACACTTGTTGTCTGTTTGAGATCTGTTCCTTTCAGCTTCTTGAATAACAATTTACACTGATGAAAAGGAGACTTCCAGTTCAGTGGTAGCATTTAGTTGACTTTTGATGCACAAAAAGGCTGGGAAGCACACAAACAAAGATCCAAGCCCTTGATTTCAAACATATAGTATGACCCATTTCAAAAAGGCAAAATGTACCATTTGTTTCTTTTTTAAGAGAAAACTGAGTGACTGGGAACAGATGAATGTTGACGTTATGCAGGAGTCACTGTATGTGCAGCAATACTGCTGCTATCTGCAGTACATTAACACCACCTTAATTAAAGTAAGAAATGCACATATTGAATGAGTGCCACTTCTACAGCTTCTGCTTGGCTATTAAATTAAAATTCTGGGTTGTTATGGAAACCGGGACTCATGGTAGATAGTTGAAGAATAAAGTAATTATAGGGTAGTCAAATCTGACTGCTTAATCCTCTGTTGAGAAAATGTCAGTGAAAAGTTGCGTGGATGCCTGAGTGACTTAATTTAATTGAGCAATAGATGTTTTATTGCTGAATGCTTGTTTAAAGCTTTAACAACCTTCAGGTGTTTTCTATCTCAGGATCCAATTGCACACTGTAACTTCCATGCAGATTTTATATATATGTGTGAATGTATTACACATACAGCAGGTGTTTCTTGAAAATGTTCATGGATTGCACTCAAATTTAGTAAAATAGTTTACAAAGTGAGCTGGGGAAAATTCAGAGAGGTACAGTCACGTTCTGCCGGATGCTCAGAGCATCCTTTCAAACTCCTGTGTCAAGTGAAAGGGGTGCCAGTTCCTGCTCCCGTGGTGCAGATGAGCCCGTGCATGTGGCTGAAAACTCTGTGAGGAGCAGCTCAGTTGAGATATCTTTCCCATTCATGTATGCCCTTGCTGGAGCTCTCTTCTGCATTTGCAAGAGCCCATCATCAGCTACTGTCTTATAAACCCTTCTTGGTATTTGTCCTACCATTTGTACCTACCATTTGCTAGCTGGCACGGCGGGGTGATCGAGACAATTTAAAGAGGGCACAAGGCTTTGATTTTAACTGTTTCTGCAGGAAATCCCAGGTCTCCTGCAGCATTGTTCAGCTGATACAAGTAACTTTAAGAATTTTGCCAATCCTTAAACGGTTGAGTGTTCTGCACTGGTGGCCTTTTAAACGAACAAGCTAACAGCCTGTTTTCTTCAGAAGGTTTTCTGGGTGTATAGCAGATGGATGCTTTTTTTGCTCTTCATGTTTGCAGTAATACTCACAAAACTGATGGACATCTATCCCCCTCACCTAGAAATTTGTATACCTACCTGAAAGTTTTCTCCAGCTTTTTATTAGTTATTAGAATTTTTAGAAGTTGTACGCTCAGAAATGCAGGGGGTTAGATTCCATACGTGCTTGCTTTGAAGTTCAGCAGCGATACCTGCTAAATGAAGACTTTTTAAAAATTATTTTACATTTCAGTCTGTGATGAGCATAAGGAATTCAAGGATGTCAAGCTATTCTACCGCTTCCGAAAAGACGATGGGACGTTTCCACTGGACAATGAGGTGAAGGTGTTCATGAGAGGACAAAGGCTGTATGAAAAGTATGTTGTATTCAGTATCCATAATGTGTTGATAATAGCACCACGGGAGGCAAATGATACTTGTTAATCTGTTTTTGAATAGTCAGAAGCTTTCAAATCATGCAGGAATAGGTCTGGGTAATCCTGTGACTTTAGTTGGTAACCCTGCTCCCTCTTTCCCATTTCTCTTCTGCTTTTCTACCATGTTCACTTGTAGCATTTTGCTTAAAATGAAATAGCATTTTCTGATGTTCTGGGTTATAAATGCACCCTATATGAGAACCTAATGTAAATTTAAGCCCTTGCACTCTTTTCTGTAAAAGTAATTACTAAAGGATGATTTGTAATGTAAAACTGAAATCACAAGACCTAAAATATTAGTACATCAAAATGCATTGAACAAGTGGCTACATATCTCTTGAGACTACAGCTTTACCAGGAGGTATGATTTTAAATAATAGGTGAAATTCATTGTCAATGTTCCAGTCTGTAAAACGTCTACATCAGAAAGGTTATATTAAAAGTAATTTAAAAAAAAAAACCCATCCAAGAGCATCTAATTAAGATTTGAAACAGGTGATTATACTGAGATACTGAATATCCCACTGGATTACTTCCATCAAATAACTAGGCAACTTAACCTTATTTCCCAATCTATAATTAATGACATTTTCATTCAGGACATAGAGCTTGTGACATGATGCTTTCAAGCACAGAGAGTAAAATCATGTTAGCATATGCTACAAACTAATGCAAAAGTAGTGATGTCTTATTTACCAAAAAGCTTGAAGTATTGCTCTAGATTGAATGCCACCCATTCTCCTGCTTAGTTAGAGCAGAAGCACGCAGCAGCAGGGAGAGGTGCTGTGTTTTCTGGCTGGAGAAATTTTGTTTCCCTCTTAGAATAAAGCACTGTGAAAATCCCAAGTTTAAAAGCTGATGATACATACTGTTTTCAAGGTTAGAAGGCTCTGAAGGTCAGTTTGATGAAAGAGCAATTGAACTGAAATATAAGGCAATAATTGTAAATGCCACTCCTTTCATTTCACCCATCATATAAAAGTCCCCGAGAGTCAGTGACTGTGGCTATTTAAAGTGAAAAAAAAAAAAAAAATTCTGTAAACCACAAGAAGATACACTGCTGGAAATAATCCTTCATTGGATGCACTGGGACAGGTGAATTAAATCACTTACCTCCAAAATCTTCTGTGCCTTTCTAAGCACAGCATTTGCTCCTTTAGGCTCAGTGCCTGCAGGCCTGGCCCATACAATGAGAAGCCAATCAATTGTCTACAGTGGCAAACCTTTTTTCCTATTTGTTTTCTATTTTTCTATTTCTATTCTTCCATTAGAAAAATATTTTTTTGTTGGTGAGGCTGTTAACAGTCCTCTGCATGAGAGGAGCCATAGTGGGAAGAACTCTGTTCTACCAGTGTCTGCTTCCATCCCCGTTTCTCTGCATGGAGAACTATCCCCAAACCAATGTCTAGTGTCCAGTTTGCCCAACACTACACTAGCAGAAAAATATTTGTAACAGTATAGATTGTTCCTATCTTGGAAAAGGAGTTAATGCCAAAAGCAGCACCTGTACTAAATATAACTGCATCCTCATGAGGTGGTTGCTCCTAGGCAACATATCTAAAGGGTTCAGAAACTTTTTAAACCAGCCCTGCGTGCTAAATATACTATAGATTAAAAATACGTGGCATTTCAAAACCAGTCTGTGACAGTCAAAGCTAGTAAAAATTCTCCATGGAGCGTTGCAAATATTTTATATTAGTGGGACATAAGAACAGATACCTGGGCTATCTGGCCTTCACTTTGTTTATTGCAGCAAACACCATGCTACAGCAGAGCACTCGGATGTCGTTAGGTCCCTTGTCCATGCACGCTTGTTAGTAAGTCCTTCGCCATTTCATTGGATGCATTTTAAACTCAAAGTCTAATACTGAAAGTCAGACTACTACAGAAAGAGCTCTGCAATGAAATGCCTGTATGTGTCATATATCTTTTATATGCTGATAGTGTTGAGAAAGCAAATATTAATGCAGTGCAATTAAAATAGTTACCAAATGGCAACAACTGGGGAAAAGTATTCATTGTAAAGTCACCAGTATATTCAACTTGTTTATCAGAATGCCTATAGGCCTAATTTCAAGAGAAATGCAACCATGCCAAAGGAAATCTGTCTGAATCCAACATATTTTACAGGTCTGTGTCTAATTTTGTAGATGTTGCTGATCTTCACTAGGCTTTAACTGGTTTAAGACAGACAGAATACTATTTCCTGCTTTTCTCCACCCACTGCCTTAGGGCTGGAGCGCCGTTACGTTTGGAAGCCAGCGTAGTTTGTGCTTGCCAAAATTGCGGGCATGTTATCCAACATCAGTCCATGCAGATTTGTACCCTCAATGCGTAGAATGAGCAAAATGCTTTAGGAAGATCAGCAGGTTGTTGCATGGGCAGAGGAATGGATGTGTTAGGCAGGTTCCCTGCGTTCAGACAGCTGCTTTGGGTGAATGCCCTGTGCTCTCCCCTAGGTCACGGGAACATTAGGACTGTGCCCATGGTGAGGAGCTCCCTTTCCCTGTCTCCCTTCTGTGTGAGCACAAAGCTCCTCATAGCTTGTATTCTCCTTTCCTGTGGCATTACCTCCTCACCTACAGTGGACATCTTCCATGGCTGTACCTGTGCAATTAGAAGATTTAAAATCAGTCTCTGATTGTATTCTCCCTTCCACCGAAAATCATAAATCAGCTCAGATTCCCTGCACATCATTGCAAACTTTGTTAATCCTTTCTGTAAATACACTTTGAGGTTCAAGTTTCTAACTAGAGATGAAACCTAATGGATTTCCTACAGTCTTGTCTGAAAATTGTTGACTAGTTTATTGTTGAATAGTTTATTAGGTCCAAGGATGGTATCAGTTCAACAATCCCCTGTGCCTGACCAAAACCTACTGAGAATTGCAAACACCATAAAAATAGGATGCCTGTACAACTTGATTTAAAAAAAACCAAACAACCCCAAACTATGAAAGGTCTGTGCTGGATTTATTAAAGATTTGCAGGGGGGGGTTTGTGGAACACGAAACATGTTTATCTTATTTGATCTATCTAGTCAGTTCTGTAAAGTCATCTCTTGATGTTGACTTCAACTGAGATTTTTCAACCAGATTTCACAGTGAAAGAAGTGCTGATTTATTGTTTTAATTTCAGGAAATCATTCAGATTATTCTGAGACTGTGTTCTTTGAATCACTTTCATTTTAACTCATCAGTGGTTAAGTCAAATTTATCCTCTGATGCAGTTATTTAGATAAAACAAGGTTAAAATTTTCTTTTGAAAAGGCTTTGAATTTCAATGTTTGGCTAAATACATTCACTTAATGCAGGATAACACCAGTTTTAGCAAATAATATGTTTTGGCATGAATATCCTCATGGTTTTTTGAAACAAGGAGAAAATGGAAGAGATAGAGGCAGTTTCCAATTCTGGCTAATGAAAGCCCAGGTTTTTGGCTGATATAAATTGGTACAGCTTTGTTGACAGCCATGGAGTTGCAGTGATTTACTTCAGTTAGTGGTGTAAGGCTGTGGATTGCTGTTTCTGGGTTTGTTAAACTGTCAATTTATCGTGTCTGTTTGTTCACAAGTCCAAATCCTTTGCAGTGCTATTCTGGGCACATGCAGAAGGGTGTGAAATGTCAAGCTGAGTGTTTTTCCACTTGATATTTTTCCAAATTTCTTTTGTGTCTCTGTAAAAATCTTAACGATTAGCATCTCATTTTCAAGGACCTCTCTATCTGTGACTTCAGTGAGCTGGTCAACTAATTATAGTCTCATCAAAGAACAATTAACACAATCCTAAGGATTTTTTATTTGGTGCCTGCAGAGCCTGGGTAACCAGTTCTGGGTAACCATGCAGCAGATGGTAGGAAAAGACATGAGCTTTTTTTCTGGAGGTAAAAAAGCCTGGTGAACGAGACACATTTAAAGATGGTCCCTTGGAGCACTGTCTGTAAATCAAAATATGGAAAAGAATAGTCTTCGCAAGAGTTCTGGAGTCAACCCCTTGTCCCCTGTGGCCCATACTCTTGCTTTTGGCCTCATCCCTGACTTCAGCTAATTTTGACTTTCTTAGTTCTTACTCGGCTCAGAGGTGCTGGCAATGACACACTAACATCTAAACAAGCGGTTCATTGTATCTGCCACTGGCATACAGCTGTGGCTGAGCAGTCTTTGCCTGGTTTGGTGATCTGCTGCCTGGTGGTCAGATCCGGTCAGTTCAGGCTTCTGGTTACGTCTACTTAAAGTCAAGGGATTAAATCATTGAGGTGAAATCACAAGGGCTGGGTCCTGTCTGTCATCGTAATTTCAAATTAAACTTTTCTCTGTGTTCTTGTGGCATAGATTTTTCTGATGCCTCCCAAAGGAGGTGATATTATATTCCATGAACTCTGGACATGCTGGCAGTTCAAAAAAAGATGGCCCACATATGAATTTACATGAAAATCAATTTTTTGATCTGAAGGGCAAAGATTAAACACGTCCAGAATATTCCTGTTGTAGTTCAGTCATGCCCTTAATGTCAAAATAGTTGGGGAAGGGAGGGGACTTGTTAGTCTGACATGGAAGAAAATAACCATGCCATTCTTGAGCTATTATTCTGAAAGTCTTACCACTAGTCCTATTATTAGCCTATAATCAAGAAGATAATTATGAAGAAAGAAGAGATTAATAAATAAGGAGACTATAGTGGGAGTCTGTATTGAAAGGGAGTGGTTATAATTTCTTCTTTCAACCTGTCTTCTCTTTCAAACTGTCAGTGTTATTTTTGCATTAACAAAATACTGAGGATTTGTGTTCTTTTTTTTTTTATACTGTATCATTTTTTTAGGTTACTTGAACAGAGAAGAATTTTATTAGTGTACTTAAGCTAAGTACATGCCAATTGCTAGGAGATTTAGAGACACCTCGTGATATTCCTCTGAACTCTGGTGTTACACGGAGCCATCTGAGACACAGAGACTCTGAAACTCAAATGTTAAAATGTGTTCAGGTCTGTAACTTCACTGATTGCGGCTGCATCACTGGGTGTTGGACGCTAAATATTTATCAACCACTCAAACCACAGAGCTACCTTTTTTCTTCTTCTTGAATTTTTCTGCAGCTCTTTTAAAGCTTATGGGGAGAACTTTCAAAACCATCTACATGACTTCAGGGCATAGTCCTGCTAACTGTAAAAATTAATTAGGAATTTTTGAACACATTAGTCACAATCTGGTGCTTTTAGGCTAATTTTGTTTCCAAGTTGATTATACATTAGCTTTTAGAGAAGCTAAAGAACTAAATAGGCAAAATGTGACACTGAAAAACCTTGGGGTTTTTTAGGGAACAAAAAAAGGCAATAACTTCACACAGGGATATAAAGCCTAATTTTTTTGACTAAGCAGTTATAATTCACATCCTAAGTTCAGACTGATAGCTCGAGGAAAGATTTAGTAAGTCAGTGGAAGGTTTACATATGTTTGCTTAATATCAGTGAGATTTGCCAGAACAGATCTGGAGTTGCTTTTCTGAAGAACCATTTTACTTACCAATTTTTTATCCCCCCATACCAGGCTGATGAGTTCTGAAAATACCCTTTTGCAAGCCCGGGAAGAGGAAGGAGTGAAGTATGAACGGACCTTTGTGGCATCAGAGTTCATTGACTGGCTGATCCAGGAAGGAGAGGCCACGACGCGGACTGAGGCAGAGCAGCTCGGCCGCAGACTTTTGGAGCACGGGATTATACAGCATGGTGAGAAATCTACTGCCAGGTAGCAAAAACCACACTTTTTTTGTGTAGTACTTTCTTCAGGTCAAATAATGTGGAGGGGCTCTTATCTTCTTGGTCATAATATGTCAGAAGTTCTAAATAATTTCAGGGAGGAGTCTAGGTAACTTTATTTAATAAGAGGATGTCTTTTTCAAAAGCTTGTTGTCTTAGTTCTGAAAATTCTGCCTCAAATGCAAAATACAGCTAGAATTTGGGATTGGATAATAACAACATAAGGATGTGGATGCAGATCAGTGCTTCCACACTTGTGGTAACTAACTTATAGAACTTACTATCAGTGATAAATATAATTGAGGTAAAGAGCTTTGTAAGGATCAAGTAGGGATTAGAGCAATAAATAAGCTAGATTTTCTTTGTAGAATAAAAATGACAGGTTCTGTATATCTTGAGGACAGGAGCAAAGCACAATCTGATGCCAGAAAAGCAGTTTTCCTCTTGATCATGTTGCAGAGTTGTTCTAGTATGTTTGGGCAAGAAAGAGGGAATCACTTTCAGCTGAAGTGTTATATTTGTCCTGGTGGTGTAAGTTCTTTGAGGTGGGAATTGAATATTTCTTCATGGTCCAGCACGATGTGGCTGGCAGATGCACCTTCACCAAGGACCTCCCTCTCTTGAGGGTGGAGGAGACCGTTTTCTCTCCATACTGCCCTGAGGGTGAAGAAATTAACACCTCTGGCCCTAAAACCCATTTTACATATTGTCATCATCTACTCCCAGTGTAAGTTGCCCTTCTTTGACCAGGTGTTTTCCACCATAAACATGTTGCAGGGCCTCTGGGAGTGATGGAGGGGTGCCAGGAGATGACAGAACAAGCTGGCAGTAGCTGTTAGCTATGTTGCTTAATGCACAACGGGAAAGTAATCAGAGCCTGGTGATCTGAATGTTGTCAAATCAACACTAATTCTGACAGAAAGCACACAATTCATGATACTAACAGGTTGTTAATATACAAGGTGCTAGATTGACTGGGTTGCTTGTCGCTTTGTGAGAAAATCTAGTTTTAAGGAATAGAGAAAAATGGGGGCGTAAGTGACCTGTGTGATTCCTTCATGGTTGTAATCATGTTCACATCATCTTTAGTGTCCATTTACTAGGAGCTACTTCTCAATGTTTACAGTAATCAGCTTCCAGTTCTATAATTATCCCTGTGCTTCCTACGATTTATAGAGTGCCAACTGCTTGGAGCTTGATGGACAGGGCAGGTATGCCACCCCTCCTCTTTACAGCCACAATTATTTCATTCCTATTTTTACCCAAGCATTTTCTGTATATTATATAGGAGGTAAACTTGCCTTCAAAAAAGGAAAAAAAATAAAGAAGAGAGGAGTAGATTTATGCTGCTATTGATGATTTTTCAGAGGAAATGAAATCAGAACTTGATACTTGATGCAAAGCTGGACTTACTTTGCTATTGAAATCTTTGCACAGCTAAGATAGTCAGAATGTGACATTTATTGCAGATCAACCATTGTTTCATTAACTAAGGCAAGTGCACCTTGGTGGGGAAATAATGTTACCCCCACCAAGCCAGGTTTCTGGGCAGATTCCTGAGCTGTTCCTGCTCACCTTTATGGATTGCCCTCGCGAGTTTTGCGGATTTGTACTCTCCCCATCCTCTTCTAGCAGTCGGGAGCATGTGCAAAGCACCCTGTTAGAACGAGATTTGAAACTCACAAAGTGATGACAAGCAGGGCACCGGGAATTAGTTGATTGCTGAGGAAGTGGCCTTCTCACTTCAAGGTACTGTCATCTTCCTCGCTCAGCTTTTATTGGGGCAAAGGTAACTCAGTCAGGATTTCACACTGACTTGATGAGGAAGCTGGAAGTAAAATAAGACTCAATTATGACCTTGGGATTTATTTTTACCAGGGGATGTGCTTTTGCATGCTCCAAAGCAGAAGATTTTGTTCTCCTCTGGATTTCACTGAAACAATTTGTCTAGACAGTGTTAGGAATATTGATGAAAGTGCAGAATTAATACAGAACTGGTTTGGGGTTCACCTTAGCATGTGGGTATGACCTGTGCATTTTAAAGGCTTGTGTAATGCTGGCTTCTTCTAAGAAGGGAGCTCGAAATGAGAACTCTCAGTACAGAACTGGGGTTATAAACTGTAAAATGGCAAGAGTGGTACTCTCTTTGCCCCGCATCCCCTCCCTGCCCCCTTGTCACTGAAATCTAGGTCCAATTGCAAAAGGAAAAAGAAAAAAGGTATTTTTCTATCTCTTAGTTCAGTAAATTCATTTCACCATACTATGCTTCCTTGTTTTTGTATCTCATCAGCAGTACCAAAATGTTACTTGACAGTAATTGGCATCCTTGTTGGCAGAACCAATAGAAAGACTGTTGACTGAAAAGGAGTGAGAATAAAACATTTTCCTGCCCTAAAGGCAATCTTTTGCTAGCAGCATTGTTTGATATCCACAATACAGAATAAAATAAAGTTTGCTCTACTCTTCTTACGAAGTAATTATTATCTCACCTAATGCAATAGAAAGTAATAGAAATAGTTGCATCAAGTTGCCAATCTCAGTAGTAATTTTCCAGCAACAACTGAATTGTGCAATTTATTTTTACTGATACAGACTTTCATTTCAATTATTCAGAGAAGCTCTATTCTGTGGCTGAGGTACTGTATTGAAAACAGCTTCCTGACACATTTATCTTCACTTTAATTGGTCAGACACAAACCAGGTTTCACACAGGAAACAAATACTGATGCTAATTTTAAAAACGAAAACAGTGGTTTAAGAGGAATTGTATGAATGCTGTAAAAAAATCAAATGTTTAAAAATAATCTTCCTGATCTCTTTAGGCATATATAGAATCATAGAATAGTTTGGTTGGAAAAGACCATTGCAATCATCTAGTCCAACCATAAACCTAACATTGCCAAGTTCACCACTAAAGCACGTCCCCAGGTACCATATCTACACATCCTTGAAATATTTCCATGGATGGTGACTCCACTACTGCCCCGGGCAGCTTGTTCCCATGCTTGATAATGCTTTCGGTGAAGAATTTTTTCATAATATCCAACCTAAACCTCCCTTGGCACAACTTAAGGCCGTTGCCTCTTGTCCTCTCACTTGTTATTAGGGAGAAGAGACCAACACCCACCTCACTACACCCTCCTTTCAGGTAGTTGTAGAGAGCGATAAGGTCTCCCCTCAGCCTCCTCTTCTCCACACTAAACAACCCCAGTTCCCTCAGCCACTCCTCATAAGCCTTGTGCTCCAGGCCTTTCACCAGCTTCATTGCCCTTCTCTGGACACGCTACCGCACCTCAATGTCCTTGTAGTGAGGAGCCCAAAACTGAACACAGCACTTGAGGTGCGGCAATCACTTCCCTGGTCCTGCTGGCCACCCTATTCCTGATACAGGCCAGGATGCTGTTGGCCTTCTTGGTGACCTGGGTACACTGCTGGCTTATGTTCAGCCAGTGGTCAACCAACACCCCCAGGTCTTTTTCTGCCAGGCAGCTTTCCAGCCACTCCTCCCCCAGCCTGTAGCGTTGTGTGGGGTTGTTGTGACTGAAGTGCAGGACCCGGCACTTGGCTTTGTTAAACCTCATACAGTTGGCCTCAGCCCATCGATCCAGCCTGTCCACATCCCTCTGCAGAGCCTTCTTGCCCTCACACAGATCAACACTCCTGCCCAGCTCGGTGTCATCTGCAAACTTACTGGGGGTGCACCCAATCCCCTCATCCAGATCATTGATAAAGATATTAAATAGAGCTGGCCCCAAAACTGAGCCCTGGGGAACATCACTTATGACTGGCTGCCAACTGTACATATTTCCCCTGCCAGACTTGAAAATCGTGAAATGTGCTTAAGTGCTGAATTGTTTCCTTCCAAAATCCCACTGGTGCATACAAATCGTAACCCACAAACCACCATTTTCACAAATAGGAGTCAGGTGTCCTTTCCTATCGACTGGTACCCCCAGGTACTACGTAATAAAAAAAACATAGGTAGGAGGGTATTATCCACTGTACGTTTCTTGAAGGCTTGTGTTGGCAGTTTAATTGCCAGTAGTTATTCTGCATTTGTGAACACTGATGGTCTTCACCAGAATATGGGAATAAAGATTGTGTGAAGAATATTATAAACATCGTGATACACATTCAATAAGGACAGGGACAAAAGGCACACAGAACACATTTCTCAGCTGTAAAAAAGCCCATTTCTAATATGGTGAGGTATGTAGAGATTTTTAATGTTAACAGATAGGACTTTCCTCCAGGAGACAGGGTCCTTCCTCGTTTTTCTTCATATGGAAACGGTGAGACAGATTAGCTACTGCAGTCAACATTCATGTGCTGCAAGAGAAGAAGGAAGTTCTCTGTCAGCTCCAGGGTAGATCAGACCAAAGTGAGGATGGGCTAAGGGCAGGCAGAGGACAGCATGAGCATCCACACACAGTCACAGCCCTTGGTCTGGAAACCAGAGATACTGAGATGTCCAAGGAGGAAAGAAGGTATCCTCAGAGCGCTTCCTGGCATCATTGTTTGGCTCATACTTTGTTATGGCATTTGCTGCAGCACTTGCCCTGCACCTGCAGCCCCAGCAGCGGAGCATCATTATTGTGACAGGCTAAGTACTACCATCCTCCTATGAGGGCTTGTTGGGTATGGAAGCTGGGGGGATGAAGAAACATCTGCCTGCCTTGCAGAAAGGTTTAAGGTCTGGAATCTCAAGTGATAAATACTTTGCATTTTAAAATCTTTCTAATACTGTTAAGATGAGCCTATACCTTCTTCAGATAGCACCTGCACTTTGCAAGATGAATATTTGCATTTCCTCTGTGGCAGCATCACAACCATAGCACATTTAGGAATACTTTTCAATATGTTGTGGAGTGTAAACACGAAACTTGTAGTGATTGCCCTGCAGCACAGGCAGTACAGCATGTGCCCCTCTCCTGGTCAAGCCTGAGAGAAATGCAGGTTGGAGCAGCAGC